CTACAAACACCAGTTACTAAATCAGCTTTTTTGTGTGTGGAAAAGACATGTAAAAACGTTGCTTTCACTGATTATTAAATAGGCATATCGATGAATAAATCTGTGATGACACAAAAAGAGGTGGGAACACTATCCAATATTTCACTCCAGCAGAAAAAGTATATATATATATTATATATTGTCTAATTTTCTTACACCGAAGCCATTCTCTGGTGATGTTCCCTAATGAAAACCTATAAACTATTACCACCATAAATGAGTGTTGCCAAAAGGCCTGGAGCTACAGCAGGTCAAGCCCTCTGCAACATGGTCAATTAGCAGATTGTTGATTTCCCATTGGAGCTTCACCAATACCACCAGTCACGTGAGGGCATCTGCTGTGGTACAGTTTACCATTGGCATATTATGTAGCTATAGAGTTATATTAAAAGAGAAACAAATAAAAATCAGAAGATATAAAAAAGTATGAGCAATAATAAAACAAGATTGATTCAAAGTTCACTTTGTGTCACTAAACACTTCCTATCCAAACACACTGATACAATTTAAAGTCAAAACGTCCTTTTTTTATATTCAAATGCGTCCTATTTTCTTTAACAAGTTGAATTCTCAATTATTAACTTTCTAGTAAGTTTTCACATGTTCAGGTGGCAAGTCAGAAGTATCATCATGTGATTATCATGTGACCTTGTGTCATTCCTGTGAGCAATAAGGAAGTTAACCAGCTGATTCATGTATCCAATCGCTATTTGAGTTGTACAATAGAGCAGTTTTTCAGGTTAAAATAATTTTCACTAAATTAAATGCGACACAACAGAATTGACAAATTGTAACAGAATGACGAACAGTTTATGCAGATCGACGTCACTCCGAATATTTTACTCCATTGCTTAACGAATATTACTTTATTGTATTAAATCATATTGTATAAAACTAAATCCCTATTGCTTTTAACACCCTTAAGCCTTGCATGCAGTAGTGTGGCATGTGGCAAAAGGTGGGATTTAACCTCACCTTTAAACCTCCTGCTAAATGCAGAAAGCTAGCAAGTGCAACCAAATGTATTAGGAACACATTCAATACATTATGACTGTTAACCATTCGTATTGAAGCCGTGCCTATTCGTTAACATGTTTGTTCAGTATTATTCACCATGTTGTCCTGTCTGAATCAGTTCAAAAATCTAAAACGTACAAAACCGATGTATGCTAACATCAAAGCTAACATGTATTCGTCATCAGCTAGCTTGTCAACTAGCCGTCTGTTGTTGAAGAAGAAAAGCTAGCAGCGATAATAGCATTAACCAACTAACACTAACAAAACATTGGCAGGTTAAGAAAAAACCAAAGTCAATGGCTTTTCCCAGCTAGCTGTTATCTAAGGCTAAAATAAACGACAGCTCAAGATTAGCATTGCGACGTTAGCAAGGCTAGCGGGTGGCTTTAACAAGAAGCGTCCAAGACACGCACTATGGAAGACAATTCAGAGCTGGGTAAGGTGCAAAAAGCAACAATGGGTTAGCATATTGTGTAACAAACAACCAGGTTTAAGTGTAAAATGTAAGGATAATTACCGCTGAACACCATAGCCGCAGAGGCTCCCATCACTGCGAAGAACGGAGCGTATTCGGGACTTTCGGTCGACATTCTTACTCACTAAGTATATAAAACTAAATGTACAAAATCTATTATTAATGTCGACAAAAAAATGCGCAGAACCAAACGAAGGCCACAGTCTTGAAATGAGACACAGACTACAGTACCAGGAGAGCCTAACTAGCAGTGTGTAAACGGGATAGTCACGACTCTTCTGATAAATACCCGGCGCAGCAGCACAAAATGGCGAGGCGGAAAGTATCACCTGACTTGGCCGTACGGATAAAACCTAACATCGACTGGGTGTGGGGGGGGGACAACCAAAACAAACAAATGTATTTGCGTTCATGATGTCACACAACGCCTTTAGGAAATAAGAAATAAGGGTTTAAACCTTTAATTGATTTATTTTGTACAAAGAAAGCGTTTTATATTTGTGTTTCTTTTTATTTTGTTATGAAGGTCACCCCTATCAGGCATCACTTTGGTTTGCTCCGCTGCAGGCTTCCCCTTTGATATCTACGCATTCACCCTTCAGGAGCAGGAGGATGAAATGATGGGGAAAATCAAGAGGGTGTGGAGAGACTGTTAAGTTAATGAAAAAAATGATGCTTGATTTATCATATCAATCAGGGGGAAAACAAAGAAAATACATAATTTATAGTACATGCCTTTTATATATTAGAAATCAGATTATATGTCAAATAAATGTCATGCACCAAGAGTCACAGTTGAGTGACATCTCCAAGAACTGAAATTCCTAATATTGCATTAGGTTAAAACATATTTTCTGCATTTTGCACCAGGACTCTACCATACAACTGAGGGTGGTTTACAGTCAGCTGTGATATTCAGCAATGTGAGAGTGAGAGAATTTGAGGCTCAGTGTGTAAGGTTTGTGGTGGGGGGAGGGAAACGAGAATTCCCATTTCACTGTGTAGCTCCCAGCAAGAGCAGGCTCAGGGATCCAGAAAGAGGATGGGGGGGGGGGGGGGGGGGGGGGCGGGGGGGGGACATCATGGGAGATATGAAATGTGTGTATGTGTGAGTCACAGAGAGCTTGTGCCGTCCCCATGCATCCTCCTCCTTCTCTTCCTCCATCCATCCCTCCATTCTGCTCCATCTGCATTGCCTTGTCTAGTCAGCACCAGAGAAGGACCCCTCCCCCTTTATCACTGTAAAGCTCCTTCACTCGTGATGCAATTTCTACACAGGCTTCTTTCCTTTCAAACACTTGACTCGGCCAACGTCTTACTTTGGCTACCATCTGCAAGGTGGCGTTATGCAATGAGAAAAGATCATTTTGATGCACGGATGATGTGCAGTGATGCATGAATGACAAAAAGGTCACAATGATTGAGATGGTTTTTACTCTCTCTTTCTTGATTGACTGAGCTATCATTGATCCAGGACAGACTCTTTTAGATGCAAGAGGATGTAAGCTTTTCTGTTGTTGAGGTTGGATTATGATCCTGCCTGAGGGATTCATGCTTAGCAGACATTTGCAACCCTCTCATTTGACAACATGCAGCAATATGATAACCCATGTATTTACACTCTGTTGTTTCCTGTTTGTTTTGGTTGGATGAACATACAGATTAGGTGAGTGCTCCTGTCCTTGGAGCACTGATCAATAGGTTGTAAAAGAGAGTGATAAGAACACAGAATATTCTGATGGATGGTCTTTGAGATGCTGTTTTGAGGAAGGGAAACAGGGTGAGAAATTCTCACAAGGCCATGATTCAGTCAAGATATCATTCAAGATGCACCATAAAGCATTCAACACCATTTTAATCAACACTATACTGTGATTCTGGATATAGAACCTTAATCAATATGTGGTTTTTGTTCTTTAATACATGATCAGACCAGGATATAATTCTACAGAGTCTTGTGCTCGCCAAGGATCTAAATAAAGAAAGTATCTGAGCTAAGCAATTCTCACATCTGGCCTTTTTCCTGTTTTCAGCATGTGACCAAAAACACAACTCTGTCTTTCATTTTCACTGGGATAGAACCTCAATCCAATCCGTGTGTTTTCAAAACACTAATGCTGCGGAATAAGTATTAATCATGCAATAAATGACATAATCATTAATATATAATGGTAATTATTCAAACGAGAGGTGTACAGCCTATTATATTAGGCAGCTTGTGACATGTAATCAATAACAGACCAGAGTCCACCCTCCCTATCAATACCACATTACAACATTCTGTCTGTAAATCAAAACAACTTTAGCTGGGACCGCCTTAGACTACCTCTTAATCCCCCCTGCCGTCCACAGCCCCTTGTCATCTGAGGGGCGGGGGCCGGTCGAGGAGAGACCCATCTCAGTGTACAGTTAAATACATAAGCATCTTACTCCTTCAGGCTGGAAAGCATGTTTTTCAGGAGATGCGCCAGACCAACACCCAAAGGAGCCGCTAAAAATAGAAGTGCATGTGCGATAAGCTGAGTGTGAATCCTGAATGAACGGCTCTGGCAAGACAGCGTCAATGCCACTTACTGTAAAGAAGGAATTACACCAACACTAAAAATACTACAGTTCTGCAGATGCATTAGGGCTGTGCCACACCCACTGCAAATGAATTGAGCATTTATTTTAATCAAGCTTTCATGTACAATATTGAAATGATATGCTCCCATACTGAAGCGTTAAGTGAAATGGCACTATGTAACAATATGGTTGTTAAATGTGTACGGTCTATAGTAACAACAATGCATTTAAGGTAGTTCTTTTGCGATTACATTCTAACAACGACTTAATTGAACTGCATTTTCGAATATAGCTGAGTACAAAAGGAGAAGGCCTTTAAAGATATATTTGTAGGTATATCTGACTCATCTAAGCTAAATGTTTTCCAGTCATGCAGCTTCCACAAAAGCAGACAAAGAAAAAATAGAAACATCAAAACGTGTGTATGAGTGATTTAGGAGTCATACAGTTTGTGGTTTAGAACCAGAACTATACATCTACAATGTCCTTTGCAACAGTGTCATTTCTCTCCATTTTGTCAAATGAGGTATTGAGTTTGAACTAGGATGTTTTCCCAACCACTTTAATATTGCAGCTATAAGTTTCATTAAAAAAAAGAAAATGTTTTAAAATCGGTAACAGTTTGCTTTGGTATTAAAAATGTGAGTAAAACATCAAATAAACAATAAATATTGTACGGCAAGTATTTTGACTTCTATTTGTGTAATTGTTTAACAGTAATGTGTATAAACAGGCATACTAGCTGCATATACTAGAGTAGAACAGGATTAGTGTGTGTGTAGATTTATGGTCAGCTGACCTTAAGGCATCTGACACACTTCTGTGACAGTCTGAAGAAATGTCCCCGTCTCTTTGCAGAGACAGAGATGTGAGAAGACAAAGACAAAGCAGCAAAACAAGTCTCTTACTGTACTGAAATCATGTATTTTCACAAGATACATTTGTATTCACTCAATTGATATTTCACTGAAGCACATGTTTGAACATATACATAAAAACAGCGTTTATAATTACCCCAACAACACTTTGCCAACACGGCACACATTTGGACTTCTTGTGTTACTATCTTCACCAGGGAAAGGACGGAAGAAGCAGGGTACGACTTAGAGATTGATCAGCAAACTGCATGATCTCCGTTACTTGTAAACCAAAAAACACCTTGAGTATCTTCTCTTATTCACACAAATATTCATATACAACACAAAGGAGAAACTGCCACTCACTCAAATGAAAGCTTTGACATATGATACAAAATGGAAACACTCAAATAAACCATTGATTCACAAACATTTACCACATTCGCAGATCTCCCAAATATTTACAGCAAATCAAAATGGGGGGAAATGCGTCAGGACTTAATTCAAACTTAGCTGACCTCACTCCACTAACACTATATTTAAATCTTTGCTTTTGACATTTAAAAACATCTCACCAACTTCACACATCATTTCTAATATCTAATGGCCTGGTACATTTTTTTTTAAGGACTTTAGATAGCCAAACAGACAATTTGGCAGATTGAAATGAACCACAGATCATAAAACACTGACTTCACATTAAGAAAATGTAATGTTAAGCTCATGAACATGAACGAACCACACCCGACGGGATACAACTAACTTCCTTATCTAGATTTGATCCTGACTTCCTTCATACTGTATAACCAGACACTTTAACATAATGAGCACACCATAAAAAAAAAAATCTGTAAATACAAAAATAAACAGAAAACAAATAAAAATGTCACATTTGTTTTCAAATCTGGATTAACTTCATTAATAAATACAAAATTGTTAATCATATATTATGCATTTGCAGGACGGATGTAGATCTGTTTGCATACCTGTGTTTCCCACCTCGAAACACTTTGCTGGACATTTTATATCTAAATGTTTAAATGTTAAATTATGTCTACATGAATGTGTCTGTATGGATCTAATCTATATGCATGCGTGCGCGTGTGTGTGTGTGTGTGTGTGTGTGTGTGTGTGTGTGTGTTATGTACAGCACTATGAGGCCATGGCATCCTGGAAGCCCCACGTTTCGAGCAGTGCAACCTGGAAGCTCTCGGCACACAGCGGGGGGTTGTCGAAGGTGGCGCAGCGGCCAGCGCGACCGTGGTTGAGCTCAGAGTCGATGTACAGAGCGTTGCCGTCCCCCCCGCCTGATCAGAGACAAGAGCACACCGTTTTATTAGCTGGAAGTCCAAAGTGTCTATGTAACTTGAAGAAACACTCAGAAACACACAAAGGCCGTTTCTCGAGTATACCTGCTGCAGAGCCACTATTTCAAGTATACTACGTCATCGAGTGGCGCCGTATGACGATGACTCGATGACGTAGTATACTTGAAATAGTGGCTCTGCAGCAGGTATACTCGACATTGAGAAACGGCCAAATTGTCATCAAAACGCGGTGTTCATTATGATGAATGGTTGACAATAAAATACCACATTTGATACGATTCCACATGTTTTAAGAAAGGAAAAAAAATAATAATCGGGTAGCTGAAAAACATATAACTTTGGCCAGCTACCACAAGGAGAAAAAAACACCACAAATCACAATCCGAAAACTTGAAATTGGGTTTTGTGATAGTTGCTTTATTTTTAGAATAATACAAAAGATTGAAAAAAAAGAAAAATAAGTAAAAGTCAAAATGTTCAAAAAACATTGTAAAATAATGATATTTATATTAACATAAAGTATACAATTGAAGCAAAAAGTCCAATACAAATTCAAATAGAATGTAATAAACCTATTATATAAACACAAGGAGTTCAAGTAAGTAAGTAATGAAATGTGGACATTGTTACAAAACATACATATATTTTTAATAATATTGAATGTTGCAACGTTTGAAAAGGGGACCAGAATGACTAAATACACACCAATACCATACAGTATTTTCCACTCACCCACTATGATGGAGTCAAAGTTGCCGGCCATGAACATGGAAGTGTTCTTGGAGGTCAGGTTGAAGTGGCGGGCGGAGAGGAAGGGCGACAGGTCTCCAGCAGGTTTCTCTGGCTGCTGTAAGCCGTTGTTCTCAGAGTTCTGACCCTCAGAGGAGGCCGGCTCTTCCTGGCTTTGAGCGTTGCTGGAGGACGCCAACTCAGGGTGGCGGATCACCACCCACTCAAAGTGCTCCATCTCTGGCTTCATCTAGCAAGAGAGACAGACATTCATTATTGATTACTCACCTGAGCATCACACATTTCATTGGTGTAGTACTGCATTTATTAACATTGAAATACATGTATCCTTCTTTACAGCAACACACGTGCAAAAGGTGACAAAAGAAAGCTTTAAAATAATAATGCTTAAAGAAAGGGATACTTCATGTATGCCTTTAATTCCTTCCTTAACTACACACGTTCAATCAACATATAAAACCAAACAAGTGTTTGGCCACAGTTACCAAAACACACATTCAATAGTAGGCTTGTGAACTATGTAATGTGTGTTTTGGTAACTGTGGCCAAACACTTGTTTGGTTTTATGGAGGGGGGTGTTACGTGCCGTAGTGGGTGCTGGTGTTTGGGGGGGGTGTGTGTGTGTCTTTCTCTCTCTCCCTCTATATGGTCTCCAGGTGCAGCCTCTCCCTCCAGGTGCAGCTTCTCCTCCAGGTGCTCCCAATCACCAATCAGGGCCTCCATAAAGGACCTGAGAAAAGCTGCAGTCGCTCTCCCCTTCTTCTCTGGCTGCTGCATGGTGTCTATGTCTCTGTGTGGGACCTGATTATATTTGTATCTTAATTTGCTTTGCAAGTTGGCTGGTGAGCCCGTTTTCTGCTTGTCCATCATTGGTAATTAAACCTCCCTTTGTGGCTTCAGAAGATCAGTTTCCGCACTTTTTTCTCGTGCCTGGTCATTTCTGTGCTTTGTTACTTCCCTTCGTACACATAGGAGTTGCATTGCATGTTTTTTCTACAGTAGCTGCCTTGTAACCTTTGCTCTCTGGTCTATAAATAATTACACTATCAAGTCACAGGATATTGTAACTTTAGCTGTGCTGCATGTTTAAACTGATCCTAGGGGAACTGGTTTCAAATGATATGCTCCCCACGATCAAATTAGCTTAAACAAAACTAAAACCTCTCATTTCAAGAATATCCACAAGTATTTGCAATTCCACTTGTAATTTATTTTCTTCATGTGAAGCCAGTGTCAAATATGTATGATATTTGTGTCTAGCAAACTTAAACTGTATATGTATCTCTGTACACACCTTTGACAATCTCAATGAGACACCTTGTTTGAGTTGAGCATTAAAGGTGGGGTAGGTAAGTTTCAGAAACCGGCTCAAGATACACTTTTTGTTATATTCCATGGAATGCTCTTAACATCCCGATAGCAATGAATATCTGAACTGCTTTGACAAAAAATCCATAAAAAACGTCATCTGTGGAAGCCGTAGTACTGTAAAAAGCACGACCAATTATTTTAGCCGGCCAGGCTAAAATAACTGGATGGCCTACCTGCCTGTCAGCCTTCCATCTGTGCACAAACTTATCTCGTGCCCTCATTGGTCATGTGTGTGTTGGAGGAGGGGCTCTGCAAGGAAGTGGCAGATATTTTCCGGCTATGTATTTTCAAATTCTAGTGCACTCGAGCCGGTTTCTGAAACTTACCTACCCCACCTTTAAATAAAAAAATAAAATCATCAGACAGACATTTGGTCGTCGCTAATTGTCCCTTCTGGTGTCAGGTGAGAGCCAGACCAGTTACTACTGTATCTGGTTACAGGAGTTTCCGATCTGAAGTATTAGTGTGCAAGACGACGGTGTTTTCTAGCCTAGACAGTCCACAGCTGTGCATCAACACGGATAACCAGTAAATAATTCATACAGCAGACGTTAGAGAGCCGGTCTGTTCTGGTATTTGTAGCCAGGTGTTATTATAACTCAAAGCACAAATTATATTTGTTATTATAACTCAAAGCACAAATGATTGTTTCTGCAGACATGGCAATGCTACTGTAATGAATTGTGACCTACTAAGCAGGCGTTTCCAAATGGCAGCCTGACGAGCCAAGTGAGGCCAGTGACAATGAAATCAAGTGAAAACAGAGTGGATGGTTCCCTCTGGTGGCTATAGTGTGGTATTGCTCAAAATGAAAAACCTCCCCTTAATTGATCACTAGAAAAGCTTCTTCAGATAACCTAAATACTCAAATAAAGACGCATTTTCTGAAAGGAAAGCCAAACGTAAATATACTATAAGTAAACTCACCCTGAAGACAAAGCACTCCCCTGTCCCAAAGAAGCTCAATTTGTTGCCTCCTCTCTTCCGCTCCTGCCAGTCTGTGGACAGGAAGGCTCCACATACCTGAGGCAAAAACAGAAATTGAATGAAACATTGGGGTTCATTTCTTGGTCTTCAAAATTCACAATAGTGGAATATTGTTTTCTACAAACTGATACTGTATTGCTGGGATGTGTTCGTAGGACTGTAATCTAATCATAAGACACATATGTAGTCATGACCTATGACACCAATTAAAAGAAAAATACTACAACTGAATTCTATTGTAAAATGCAGGAAGCTCATGTGGACCTTTTTATTAAGTTAAATTAATTGTTGTTTAGGTAAGTACAGAAATATCAAGTTTTGCTAGTGTGGATTTTGGTAACTTAAATCTAATAATATGTTATCATGATGTCTACAAATGTACCCATTTGATCATTACAATGCACATCTGTGTGTGTGTGTGTGTGTGTGTGTGTGTGTGTGTGTGTTCCTTACATCGCCATCTGTGGTCCGGATGAGGAGCAGAGTGGGTTCGTAGCCTTCACAATGCTGGTAGAACCTGGAGGAAATTGTGCAAGTTTAATTAAGGATTAACCTTTAGGTTGGTATACTGTATTTACTTAACTATATGTGAATGTACAGATAAGAAAGTTGCTGTTAAAGTAAATGGCAGGTCTGCTGGTTACTGCAGAGACATTGTGTTCTGTTCAGAAATCTCTGCACCTTTTTTGTATCTCTTGCTTTGTTTCATATCTTTTTTGGCTTCTGTGTTCACATTTAATCCCCCTTTTAGACTTTCCGCCATCATTTCAAAGACTAAATGCTAAACAGGGCGGGAAATTTAGATCTGAAGTCAAAAGCTTGATGATGTGTTGAGGTGAGCCCTGGACCATGTACCTGTTCAGGCTGCACCCGTGGTTAGAAGTGGTGAAGAGCAGCTGTGGTTGGCACAGGGCAAAGCGCTCAGGGATCCACGACCAGATGTCCCGCATCTCCTTGGCGCTGACGATCTCCGAGGAGAAGGTGTCGGGGTTCAGAGCCAGCTGCACGTTCCGCCTGGAGACGCCCAGAAAACAGACACAAAGAAAATGTAACTATTTGCACAGTATTGATGCATAAACCTTTAATAGAAAAGTCAGTCAAAGCAGATTATGATGTATTCAAGGTAAATATGGATTTATTTGAGAGTTTTGGGGTATTTACTAATCATAGTGTCTGACAACTTAGGTGCCATTGTAACAACACATCTATTTAAAGAGTAAATAAGCATTATTTGAACAATTTAAAGATGGATTTTGAGAGGAGCATATAGAAGAGAACCCACCTAGGACTGTGAAAAAGCCAATGAAGGAAACACAGGAGTGAAGCGCAGATGAGATAGAAGATGGTGGATGGGATGTAAAGAAATGCAGAAACCAAAGACAAAGGGAACAAGAACATAAAATGAGACAAGGGAGGAGCAACTTAAACCATTCACCAAAGCATGCCAGAGAAGAAAACTAACAGGACCTTCTTGCCAGTTTTTGAACATTTGATAAGAAAAATGTTATATCATTTGTCCTCAATGACTAAAACATATCCCTGTGATAGATTATGACCTCATTATTCACTATACCGCTTCTGTTTGACAGTGATTCCTTTCTGCTGCAGGGACTTCTCATTGGTGAGCTGCAGCAGGGTGATCTCCTTACGGCTAAACATGCGGATGGAGAAGGCTTTCTCGAGCAACTTTTCGGGGGTGACGGTTGAGGCGATGCCCTTGATGAAAACTTGAATGTCCGCCCTGACTTTCCCTGAATCCTGCGGCTGGCTGCCCTCTCCTCCCTGGGCCTCTGCTTTATGTTTGCGGTAGAACTTGAGCAGTGCTATAGCCATACGGAAGAGAACCTTGTAGCCCTCCACTAGGTAGACGTCCAGGACCCTGACCATGTGGCTGAAAGGCAGGTCAAACAGTACCCAGCGCTGCCAGTCTGTGTAGACTTCCAGTGCGTCCTGGGCTGTGGCCACGATCAGTTTGTGGCTGGCAGGGCAGTACTTGATGGCCAAGTCACCAAAAGTCATGCAGCTGGACTCAAAGGCCAGGAAAGTCTGGTCAAGCAGCCGTTTGCCGGGCTCGTTGCAGGCTAATATGCGGCTGACGAGCTCAAAACACTGAGCTTCATCTTTGCTGAAGTGCAGGAGCATGGAAGTGATAGCAGGTAGAGACGGGCAGTGGGAGATATCTGGAAACTGTCCAGCCACGCAGTTTATAATCTGATGTGCTGAGGTTACTGCCTCCGCTTTCAGGCAGTACAGAGGCAGAGCATTTCCATCCACAAACTCTGGAAGTGGGATGTTGGAGGAGGGCTTCTTAGTGCCTGCATTTCCCATAATGTCTCGATATACTTCTGCATCTGGGGTAACTGTACGACAGGGGATAGTTTTGATGAGCTGCTCGTAGACTTGAGCCCGTAGTTTGTGGTTTTTGGCCCAGTAACCCTGCCGAGCCATCTTTTTGAACTCCTTCAGGTCTTGACAGTCCACCTTGGTGGGCCCGCTGCTCTTGGCCAGATCTCCCATCTGGTTCCAGTCCACAAAGCTGCCATATTCTTCCTCAGCCATGGTGCTGGAAACTTGCTGGACGGCCTGAGTGTGAAGAGAGGATGGACGCTCAGAGTATTGCTAACCTTCTGTCCTCCAAACAGCAGATAACTGGCCTGTTTTTCTCAACTGCCCATGATGGTTACTGGAAGAGACAAAGAAGGGAAAAATAGATTAATGGGCATTCCCGTGCAAAATGTTTTATGATTAATAAATGCAAAACAAGTTATTCTGTCAGAGGCACCAAAGCATGATGAGAAGTGAAGACTAAACTTGTTAGATACCTTTGAAACCCAGTTTTAGGGGAATTCCCTCAAGCCTAGAGTTCCTACATATCTAACCACATCCGAGTCTGTGATATCAATTTGTTGAGGAGAATACATACTCTAGACTTAGACTAAGGAGAGATGCTAATGAATATTAGTTTGGTAAGAGGTTATTTGCCACAAGTTGCAATTACAAGGGAAAATGGCCACAGAAAAACTGTACTGTAAAACAACATACAAACAAATGTCACTAATCAGATTTATCAAAGATCTTCAAATGGAAAAGGGCATGTTCATCATGCATTCCATCTGAAGCGAAAAACAAATTAAGTAAACCCGTAGCTTGATCGGAATGCAGAACAAGACTATCTTAGGGATAAGATGCGACACAATCAAAGAGCTCGAGATGTGAGGTAGACAGATTTAATTGGCGAGGCATAGCATGATATTAAAGCAAATGTAATTGTGAATTATCGTGGTGGGCGAAATCAAAACTTTGGGAATTTTATTACTGTCAATGCAATTTAAATCGACTCTCATATAATAATCTGATCTTTTCCTGCAACGCACACAAGAAACATGAACATTCATGTCCAAAGACCACACACTGAAGCGCAGTATACCGAGAACCGTTGTTGTAAAATCATGTCTTTTTTTCAACACAGGTCACATGGAGATGCGTGTCCAAAGATCAGTAGCAATATACTGAGAATAACATAATGTCATACCATCCTCAGATCATTTCACATTGCTACTGACAAGTCACATGGAGGTGCATTAAATACATTACTGCGTGTACAACTGGAAACCTTATGGTGAGTCTGTAGAGAGGTTAGCTGTCCTTTAGAGGGTGTGTTACCTAAATGTTGCCAATTTACCTTAGACACCAGATCTATTTTTTTCTGAGGCAGACTTGAATCAGACTTAACAACTTAAACTGAAATGGCAAAAGGCTTCTCTGACTATAAAGTGAATACCTTAGTCTTAAAAAATCAATAGCAAAGTACACTCAAACCATTATGCATACAAAAAGGGAGGCATGGCAGCATTCAAGCTACAGTAACTTAAAATCAGGTTGCGTAGACGTAGATGACAAACCAACAAGCTTCGGTTCTTTTAGGATCGTTTGGCGAGCCTTAAAATAATAGTGCTGATAATTGAAACAGGTGTCACTTACCCATAGAATGACAAATACAAATAAAACATACTTCCTTTGCACAATGCATAAGCAGAAAGATCCACACACACTGATGTCTGTGCAATAGATGAAATATGTCATGGAGTAGGCAACTACCATCTTTGCATTTTACATTGAATAAGCACTTCCCATCAATGTCTTCATTCATTTGGTTACATTAATTAAAACAAATCTGATAACATGCTACAATCCAAGACTATTCAAATGATGAGATTCTAGAGCAAACTAAATATGAATGCTTAAGGGACTGAATGGAGGAGGAAGCTCCATACAAGCCTTAAGAAAGCTCTGCCTCCTCTACTTCTGCAAAACTGGACAGACAGGTGTAGGCTAAATATATGCAGATAAAAAGACATTAGCACATAAATGGCTAACGTTACATATTCTGATACCTTACCCCTGAGCTGTGGGTAACACTACAGTGTCAGTGTGTACAGTTGTCTCCACACACTGGATTGACAGCTGCAAATACACGCAAAGCTTCGTATATTCAGTCAAATAACCTATTAGCCTTAGCTAGCCACCATACGTGATAGCAGCCTGTGCATACGGGTCATTTAATATTACCGCCCGAGCAAATCTGATACACCCTTTTTCATTCACACTTGCGGTGGTTAGCATTGCTAGCGTTAGCAAGCTGCTCCTGTCAGTGCATGTAAGCAGCTAACCTTCACCAGACAAACTAGCAGCGAGAAAACACAACACGAAGCCATGCAAATATCGACCGACAAAACAAACAGCCCATTACAATATATCTGCTAACGTTGCTGCACCAGCTAGCATGAATGTCACTAACCACAAATGAATTTGGTCCGCAGGCTGTCTTGGAGTTTGTTGATGTGGGGAGGTTTCAGCTTCAATTTGTGGAAAAGCGATGCATTGAAACACAGAACCGGCGACAGGAATACATAATACTTCAACCAAAAATGACCGACGACTGGTAAATAAATGATAAATCACTGACAACAAGTAAACTGTCCTTATCCTTACCTGGAAGTGAGATGTCTTGAGACGTGAAGCAGTAGTCATATTAAGTTGCCTCACGCATGCGCAGTGCCTCCCTCCTCGGTGACAGTCCTGCTGCAGAGGGGCTCAGGTGGGCTGGGTAAATATAGCAGCCACTGCTCTGGTTAATTCATAAAAACTTCTCAAAGAAAACAGTTTTATAATTTTAAGATTTTCAATGAAGATAAACAACTAGAGTATAGTCACAGTATAACACAGTATAACACTATTATGTTACATTTTCCATACACAAAAGGTAACATCATTCAAAACCCCAAAACACTAAATAATGATAAAGGACAACACACCTCCCAGGTTATAATCAGAGCAACACTAAAATGTGTGTAAATCAAACACTTAATATCAACAGAGGTCAATTAGCAGGACTGAATAAAACAAGAACAAACACAAATAAATTCAAAGCCAAATAAAAAAGGTGGGTCTTTAGTTAGCCCCGTAAGTAATAATAATAATCCTTATATTTATTATAGCGCTTTATCAATGACTCTCAAAGCGCTTTACAAATACACATACATGTAATGGTCATCTACTGTAGACAATACCCACAGGAGCAAATTTGGGTGAAGTGTCTTGCCCAAGGACACAACGGCCTGACGCAGTGGGGCGGGAGCGGGTTTCGAACTTGAGTTCCCCAACGCCCCCTTGATCTGATGATCAAACGCACAGACCACTGCGCCACCCGTAAGTAGAAGAATTGTAATACATTTTACAGTACTATGGTTTTAGTGAGTATTATAGGAATGCCACAAGATAATCAAACCACCAAGAGTATGATAACGTCCCGTTTTACAGTCTGGTCCTTTTATCGTTTACCTCTAGGAGTTATCTTACAGTGCTGTGAGAATGAGGTTGCATGGCAGATCCCAGTAACTGATTTTTCTTGTTTACTTGCAGACATGCTCTGTCTCACTGGGAGAGGACAGGAAGTATAGCAAGACCAACAAACGCATCCTTTGTCCCGCACTCAAAGCAACCGTCAACACACAACCGCCAAACACATGACACTTATTACCGGTGATTAAATTGTAGAGCCACTGTTGCCTTCCACAACAACAAAATGTGTATCGGCCTATCCAGTGCCTCTTAAACACGGCTGATGTTTTTCATATTCTCGTTAGTACTGCAAAAGTGATACAAATGTTGTGTTTTATATGCTAGTGTGTGAGAGACATGTGATCGTGCCGAGGGCACCGAGCATTCGCAGCGGCTGGCCCTAGGCTCTGGAACACTCTGCCCCTCCATGTGAGGTCGGCCCAGACCCTAGGGGTTTTTAAATCAACACTTAAAACTCACTTCTTCTTTCTGGCCTTCTAGCCTTTTCTTATCTAAGCCTGTCCCTTACTTCTTCTCTCCACCTCTGTCCCTTACTTCTTACTTGCAACCCCTTATCCCTCAACCTATCCGGGAATGCATGTACGTAGACACGTTAGTTTAGCTGATATAGGCTCGGACTGTCGGGGGACGCCTTGCTTCTTCCTTCTGTCTGTCTGTTCAATTCAATTCAATTCAAAATCTTTATTTATACAGATAAAACCCATTGAGATCATAGACCTCTTTTACAATGGTGACCTGCTTCAATTAGTTCCAAACATTAATACAAACATGACAGAAAACAAAAGACATTATATGATACTACAGTTTGTATACTAGTAGCATTTACAGACACCAATATTTTCTGATTTGTACCTGTGTACTCTCACGTTCCGATTAACCCAGCCTCCCCCAAATTTCTGTTTTTTTTGTGTCTATATCTACGCCGGGATCCTGAGTCGAGGCTGATCCTGTTGCTGTGGTCCTGTGTCCTGGATCCTCTATCCTGAGTACTGGATTGAGTCCTGGACTTCGAGTGGTGACTGAACCTGTCTCTGCGGTCCTGCCAGACTCTCACCATACTACTTCCCTGATGGCTCCCAAAGGATTGCTGACATCCTCGTGGATTCATCTTCTTATTATAGACACATGCATTTCCAAACATTTGGTCTACCTACGCTGTAAAATGTATTATCTCTTCGATTTACACACGGCATCTATTGCACGTCTGTCCGTCCTGGGAGAGGGATCCCTCCTCTGTTGCTCTCCCTGAGGTTTCTCCCATGTTCCCCTTAAACTGTGGGTTTTCTCTGGAAGTTTTTCCTTGTACGATGTGAGGGTCTAAGGACAGATGGTGTCATTTTCTCATACTGATATTCTGTACAAACTGTGCTGTTGTATTTGTTGTAAAGTGTCCTTATTGTAAAGTATTTTTACTCTATGTACAGCACTTTGGCTCGACCAAAAATCGTTTTAAAAATCTGCTATATGAATAAAACTTGATTTGATAATCTATCAGCTTGAGCCAAAGATTTAGCAAAATTTAGATTGAAGGTATTTCCCAACCTACAGTAACAAAAACATATCTCACAATATTGCACAGTATTCTTCATTTTAATTATTGTGTTACGTTGAAGAGCCTCTCCTCATAGCTACCATCAACCACTTTAAACAGCCAACTGACTCTTCAGGCCATAAAGTGTGTTGGAATGAAAATAACAAGCATGTCACATGATTATGATAACAATCATAAAGTAATGGATTGTCAGTGTGTGTGTGTGTGTGTGTGTGTGTGTGTGTGTGTGTGTGTGTGTGTGTGTGTGTGTGTGTGTGTGTGTGTGTGTGTGTGTGTGTGTGTGTGTGTGTGTGTGTGTGTGTGTGTGTGTGTGTGTGTGTGTGTGTGTGTGTGTGTGTGTGTGTGTGTGTGTGACAGTGAAAAAGAGAAAGAGACAGATGGGTGTAAAGCCAGTAAGCCTTTAGGTCGCTTACCAAGGTTTATGCTCATCAAATCTTTCCGCTCACACACGCTGCGTGACATCACTCCAGTAACTCCACCCCATCATGCTATCTCACATGTACACACACACACACAATTGTGCACACATGCATATAGGTTAGGTTGTGCACACCGACCTGTTTACACACACACACACACACACACACACACACACACACACACACACACACACACACACACACACACACACACACACATACCATGTATACATCACTTCAGGGGACATTACATTGACTTACATGCATTTCCTGGAGACTTATCCTAACCTTAACCATAATCAACACATGCCTAACCCTTACCCTAACCCTAATCCTAAACCTAACCAAGTCTTCACCCTAAAATTAATGATTCCCATGAGGTCCCCTCATGGGGACCTCCAATTTGTCCCCATAAGGGAAGCCAGTCCCCACACGTGACTATGTAAACAGATTTAGGTCCCCACAAGTATAGTAATGCTAGACCACACACACACACACACACACACACACACACACACACACACACACACACACACACACACACACACACACACACACACACACTAGATGTCACAAGACAACACAGAACAAAGATCTGAAACACTGTCATATTAGATGTAACCTGTGAGATCTGAGGAAACCTGTATATCACATGGCTTAGACCAGTGAGTCCAGCGGTTTTGTGTATAAGAAAGAATAAGGATGAACACAACTCAATCAGGGTGTTACACAATTTGAGTGTTGTATGTCTTGTGATAATGGACCAAGAGTCTCTTTAAATAAAGATGATGATGATGATGATGAATACATTGGACTATGTACAATACAATTAACAGGTAACATTTCCACATTAAGATGTCTAAAGACAATTAAATTATATATATAGACAGTATATGTGTGCGTTGCCATTATTTGGTCGCCTGTAATGGCATCGTATCTCCTTTGCAAATACCTAGTTGTGTTTGTCTGTTATTAAATGAATTTAAATCTAGTTTTAAGTTAAAAAAGAAAATATGTAGTAATTGATTATTTTATTCCTTAAAAATAATACAAATATATTTATTAATTAAAAGAAGTCTTTAGTTGAAGCACTTAAAGTCATAGGTACCTCTTCATAAACCTATACAAGGTTTATAAAATGAGTTTAACTGCAGTTTAATGACTTCATGTAGCCTCAGCAGGTTAACCTCAACTCACACACAGGAGCTGTTGCTGTCAGCCAATCAGGATTCAATATTGTAGCTGCGTACTTGTTTATTGGGGTTAAATTAGAGCACTTCTTGGTAGCATCATGTCAGCTGATTGAATGACGTGTGTGTGCTATCAATCTGTATCCAAACGGGATGTTGTTAATTAGATTAAGTGGTGTGGAAACTTTTGGCGTGCTGTATGGCACTGTGATCTGAGGTCCTCCTAATTACTGTTGCACGTTGGTTCTCATGATCTCCCTTTTCAGAAGCAAATAGATCACAATGCAATTATTGTTTGTTGTATTTGCTTTGATTTGAGTAACCAGAGTTGTATTTTTTCAGTGCTTCAAGAAAGCATTGTGGTTAAGCTGTATTTCCTTTGCTAATGAAGAATTCCAGCAGTTTCTGGTCTGCAAAAACAACTCGGCACGTTGGCGCCCTCCTCAGGTACCTGGGAGACTTGCTCCAATGTAAGTGCATTGTCACCAAAAGTGGAAGCTTCATAGTTTTGCATGATTTAAAAAACAAGAATTGTGACTGATAATAAAATATTATGGCTCAGTAAAACCTACTTGTCATTCAAAGAGGTGAAAGCCTCTCAGTTTCTCTTGCATACATTTCAATTCAAGCACTTAAAACTAGAATAAACCCCCCATAGTAATAAATGACTCCCTAATTAACATATTTGACAACTGTGATATATCACAGTAAGTCAGAATTACAACTTAACTTAATTTTCTGTAAAGTTTCCATTGGGTAATTTCTTGGGTCTATTATTATGTTTACCATTACATTTGTACTGTCTGTTGTCTCTTTTGTGCCGTTTAGTGCAAAGGTTTGAACCATTTGAGCTATTTAAATCTGCTCCCTGCTTGAGTATCAATTCAACGGCCGAGGCTTAAGTCTAGCCGGCGGGACTGAAAGAAACTGTGTCACCCAATGGCGTGGGCTCCATTGTATCTAAAAGGCCTGAGCAGCACTCTGGGTATTGTTTCTTTTAAAGGGGAGTCAGGTTACCTTGGCAACGGCAGGATGCCTACCCATAGGCCGTGAGACAGAGAAAAGGCACGGCCAGAGAAGGAGGGAAAGAAAAGCGAAAAGAGACAAAAAAAAGAGGCAAGATACTTCCCAGCCCAGACTTTATTTGCTTTTTTTCAGTTTGTGTGTTTTGAGAAAGGGCTGGATGGCTGCAAGTGGGTTGGGACGGAGACCCAAGGAGGTGAGAATGTGTGTGTGTGTATTTGTGTGTGTGTGTGTGTGTGTGTGTGTGTGTGTGTCCTGTGCTGGTTTGTTTTGTGCGCCAAGCTATTGACATCTCTCTATCTGCCATACATTGACACTGAGAGCAAATTTGGTTTTGTTGAGGTTCAGTATTACTGTCAGTCTAATGAACTTGTTTTACACACTGGCTGAAAAGGCTTTTATGGCCAGTCATGCTGGCAATAGCATTCCTTGAAATCTATTTATTCCTTCAGACATTGTTACAATTCATGTGGAAAGTGTGACCATTCATTTGCAATTTAAAGGAACTTCCTTTGGTGCTTAAAGCCAACCCAACTAGAGGCAATGTACTTGTGTAACAATAGAGCAATTGTGTCACAATCACTGAGTATTTTGACCTTACAGGAGTTTGCAATGTCCTTGTTTTGACAGTGAGATCCAGCATCCTGTAAACAGAGGGCCATGCATGTTGCACTGCGGCCTCGCAGGTAAGCCTTTGTCATTGGATCAGCGGCCAGGAAGTAGTACAAATGTTTAGAGTGACTGATCCATGTCCCATCCAAACCTTTCCCTGCAGCTTGCACTGACACTTAGCTTTATTTAGCCTATTTAAAAAAATACAAATGTCATTCTCATTTTGAAAGCTTTGTAAACCGTTGCATATGAGTACATGATTATATTCGTTATCACCTGCTTAACTTCCCAAGCATGTGACCTCACAAAGTAAAGTAAAAATATGATTTCCTGTGATATGATGTTGTGATGAGTGCTCTGACAACTTTGATGAAATGCAGACATATACATTGAAATGAAAATAATTGGTTTGGATCTGAATCTGGAGCTTTATAGGCTCTTGGAGATACTTGAATGTTTTAGTGCTCGTTCTTGAGCTTGGCCACACCGTGTTTCTTTGGTTGAGGGTTGGTGGTTTTACTGGCCTGATGAAAGCGAGAGCAAAGTGACGGCTCTCTCTGCCCCAGTTACACTGAAGCAGGGAGCAGACGCATGATATAACGTCCCATCACGCTTCAGATATTTGTTTTGACACACCAGGGTCCTCACGTGGAGTCATGGAACAACTCAGTTCCCCACATTCTCAATGTATTTGGCAAAAGGCAATGTCAGGCTGTCAGATTTTATTATATCAGATCCGCTCTTAAAGTCAAATATATGATGTTTAAAGGAGATTTATCAAGTTGGTTATGACACATATTATCAGAAGGTGGTCTTTTATGTCATCTCCAATTTGTGGCCAATAAACATAAGAAAATAAAATGATGGAGTCGTTTAACTCTACTGAAAATCCTTATTTTTTTTATTTAAATAAATACGATGCAAAAGATTGGGCACTTCGGAAGAATGTAGATTAACTAATTTAATAACAAATAAATAAATCCACATATTAAGACAGTTGTTCTTCATTTTGGATGTTTTGAGAAATGAGCTGTAAGCAGACAACTTAAATGTCAAAGTTCAAAAATAATTGATCATTGATTGAAACTTAAAGTAAAAAGAAATGAGCAGATAGTTCAAAAAAGCAGGGAATTAAATGTAATGGATGAAAAGTTGAGTTAGCTAAAAGTTACATAAATAGCTATTGGATATATGGTCGGAATGGCTAGCTTAAAGTACAAAATGAATGGATACATATTTGAAATTATTAGCTTGATTACAACAAAAAATGACAAAATCCAGTTGTAAATTGTGCGAAACATGGAGTACTTACGTTTGTCAGAAGCTATGGCGAGCCACTGATGTGCTGTAGCCTATGCTGTTTGCTGCAGCATGTGACGTGATTTATCTGTGTTTTGTTTCCCTCTAGTGGATGCCTGGTGCTCTGTCTGTGCCTCTCTGCCTTCACCCTGCTGCTGCAGAGCCTCTGGGTGCCTGCAGAGATAACCAGTGAGGAACCTGCAGGGAGGTCACCGGAGGAACAAGGTAACACACACACACACACACACACACACAGTTTAGGTTTAAAGGTGGATTAAGCTAGAAAAATCATGCAGGAAACATGTAATAACATGTATTGCACCAAAGCCATGGAGTTGGAGCAGCACTGATAATGAATAATAAACACATTGCATATCCTGTGTGATATCTGTACACTAAACATTGATTTTGGAAATAGAGCAGCCGTATGCATATTTTGAAGAGATTTACTGTATTTGCAGTGGATAAGAGCTGATCAAACTATATTTGCAAGTGTTTGATGAAGCTTTGTACACAATCCGCGGAGGGTCCTCTCATGTGTGTGACAGTTGTGGGTTGCGGTCAAAAGACTCCTGTCCAACAATTGTCTGGCTAAACTGTTTCCCCTAAAGGAGGGAATATAAGGGGGCAGGAGACAAGCTTTGTTCCTGGTTTACAAGGAAGAGACACATGTTGTCAACAATCTCCTGCAGAGTAGGTTTTTCTGTCAAATTAGCATTCTGAGGATCACATTAGCACATTCTGGAGCCAAAACTCCTCCAGGCTTCTTGATCAACAAGTTATTTTTAAACATGATGAGGAGCATTTTGGAAAAAACATGCAGCAAGATCCACTCTGGCTGAGGAGATCTCATTAATGTTCAATGGTCTATTTGTTACTTTTGTCAGGAATCTTGATTTAGGCCCTTTCTTGAGAGTCTTTGCACAATTTAAATATTTTCTTTTTCACTTCAATTTAGATGGCTGGCTGAATACTGACATATAAACCATTGTATGGATTTAGTTAAATGCATCCATGGTTTTCTTTGTGTCAAAGACTTAGATCAGATATATCAATTGTATCACATGAAAGGACTTTTTATCCAAACATCCTGATCCTTTTCTTCTCAAATTGTAGAAACATTGTTTTTAGCTGACAATATAAACCCAGTCCCACAATAGCGCTGTGCTTTGAGGGACCCACCACGAGTTGTTGTGTACAAAGAGCCACCCAGCAGTAGTTGTGTTGGAAATTGACTGCATGGGGGAAGCGGTTGGTCAGCTCACAGTTTATCTAGCTCAAACTGACCAAATGCTTATTTCCAAGCATTCTGCGGGAAACATTATCCGTCTGACCGAGCCATTACATGTTATATTCAATCTTAAAATCAACCCTTTTCACCACAACCCTGGAAGTGACATGATATAATTCAAGTTTAATTGGTGTGCTTGCTTCAGGAAAAAAGGATGCTGTCCGAAAATAGAGTTTCACCCACATTTCAGGTTTCAAGTTCCCTTAATTGTCATGTCCACAACATACAGATACGCAGTTGGTAAGGAATATCATAGATTTCAGGCTCCCTCCAACACAAACAAATATGTATAAAAAGAAAAACACATAAGTAAATATTGGAAACATAAAAAGGAGCTTTACACACATCTACTCACAGCCTCCCACACACATTGTTTTATAAGCTACTCATACCTTTATACGTTTTTAAATGATGTGATCATATATTTATCTCACACAACTGGCATTAAGTTGTTACAGGATCCCGCCTCTTCTCCCCCATTCATCTTTCATTACGTCTGTGCCCATAGGGTCCCGGTGCGTTTAAGTAGTGATATGCTGAGAGTCAGCTGAGCAAACAGAGACAAAGTGACATCACCAGTCTGGTGGATTTTACTGTGTATCACAAGTTAAAGCTCAATCCCCAAGGAAACCCAAACTCTAACCTCAAATCAACCCTAACATCACCAGCAACCCCCCAAATATAACACTCAATGTTCCTCATTCACTGCCAATGTAAGTCTTTTAACAGTCCTCCTTGCCTCATACAAATATTTCAATCAAGCCACCCTTGATCTGCCATCTCATATGGTTTATTGAAGACCCTCCGGCAGGCCTTAAAATGCACATTCACTGTTTTTAGTGTTATGTCTGGTAACAGAGTAGAAGGCTGGCAACTAGCTGGCTAACAGAACACTAACACTAGATGGCATATCAGAGCTAAACCAAGACAAACAAGAGCTACTGTCAACTTTTAATTTAACATTGCTTGTTGAATTAGTTACAATGAGTAGAAACAACAGGTGGGTTATTTGTTATGGCCTTGGAAAACCGCTTTGCGAATGAGTCTTGTAACATTTGGAAGCCCTTGTCTCTGAATGCACCTTAGATGCAAGTGAGATATTTTTTGCCATGGATAATCGTTCTCAGTTACTTTACATCAGTAAAAACAGGTGGAAAAAAAGTCTTGGCAGGTGAGTGTTTAATTTGTTATACTCACAACAACAGGCTTAAAGGTCACCTATTATGCAAAAAACTTTTTCATGTATTTTCTACATCAACATGTGTCCCCCCCCTCTGTGTAAAGAGATTCTGAAAGTTTCAGGAAAATATATTCGCTCTCTTTTTGTACTTACTGATCCATTTAAATAAAAACTTGAGCTGATCAGATTTTGGCCACTTTATGATGTCATAACGATTTGTTGGCTTGTGTAACCATTAGCCAATCACCAACCAAGGTACCCCCCCCCCCACCCACCTTATCACCTGAATCTCCTCCTAGAGCACCATTGTGTTCTTTTAAACCAGATATCTCTCAGGGGGCGTGGGGAGGGGCTCCTTATTTTCATCTAAAGTAACAGACAGAGAATCAGCACTTTTGAAACAGGGCTGAAACAGAGGGGATTATGGGATGCTACAATGCATGATCTGTTTGGTATATCTGAGACCTATAATATATTGATGAAAAACAGTATAATAGGGGACCTTCAACACTACATTGTGTTCTGCATGAAGTAAAGCTAATATATAGGAAGGAACTTTTTTTTTTTTACCTAGTCCTATGTGATAAACACACACAAAAATAGAACAGAAAACAAAGTTCAGACTTGGAAAATGTATCCCCACAACTGTTATTGCTTGAGGCAAAAATAGTTAATCTGAATGAAAAAATACATATTTCTCTCACATTAAGCTACTTTATCATTTATTATAGTAAATATTGTCTTATTTTCCTTGTAAAATATTGGACACTACTTCAGGGCAAGGAAAACTGAACTGCTTACGTCTCAGTTCTGCTTCGAGGTAATTCCCTCTGACAAGGGGCTGCAAAGAGATGTCGCATCGTTTTAAGGGTGCACAAACTCTTAGGAAAATCTATGTAAATGTGCTGTTAGTGAATAGGAGGCCAGCTATTTTAGCTCAAGCTTTCAACCATCTATTTCTATGGTAACATTCACAAAAACAAATGCATACTGTATGAGTTTGTCTCTGTGTGTGTGTGTGTGTGTGTGTGTGTGTGTGTGTGTGTGTGTGTGTGTGTGTGTGTGTGTGTGTGTGTGTGTGTGTGGGCTGTCTCTAAAACCACAAAGCAACATGAGATGACCATAAAGCTCCAGTTCAAATTTCATTAAAACGTTTTTTAATAAAATTCCCTATATGTGACTATATGCCATTACCCCCTGCATGGAACATGGAAAATACACATAACCATAATTGCTGTGTGGTTTTTCAGCAGATCAGGCTAAGAAAACGGCATTACATAACCCTGCTGTTTAATGATGCTCAGAACACGATTTGCCATGACATAATACACAATATTACTGCTTAAACATTATGATAATGATAATTCGATACTGTACATACATGACAGGCCATGTTGTATGTACTTTATGTCACAGGTAATCGCGGTCTTGGTTTTCGCCGCCTCGCTCTCCGTTTGGAGGCTCTGAGTACTCAGGTGCAGCGGCTGAGCAGAGAGAGGGATGTCCCCCAGCTGACCAGAGATGATCTCAGCCTGTTACTGCAGAGGTATTCAACAACATCTGCAGCCTATATACACAGATAATAAAGCTTATAGTGTTTGTGTAGTAGTGTGACTACATGTGGGTTTGTTTTCCAGCTTTAGAAAAGACCAATTAGGCTTAGCCCGCTTGATGGAGAAGGAGCTGAAGAGAGTCTCTATGAGGCTGGAGCAGCTCAGCCGTCACCAGCACAATACACCACCCCCACCTGAAGCCCTTATACACACAGGTAAAGCTCAGCACAGAACCTTATCAAATTATAATTTTTTTTTTCCTATAAGGGTTTTTTGATTGTGACTAATGTCTGCATACATAGCCTTGATGTTGAAAGACACCTTTAGTTGCTTTCCATGACTTGCTATACTTGTACATTACAGACTGTAGGCCTACTATAGATCAGTGGTTCCCAAACGGTGTGCCGCGGCACACTGGTGTGCCGTGAGGCAAGTCCGGGTGTGCCGTGGGATTTTGTGACAACCATACCTTATTATTGCAATATACAACTACACAAAAATAATTATTTTTTAATTTACTATATCAGTACTTTGTAGTTTATATGTAAGTAATCTGCGCGACTTGCGCGTCCACATCTCCACGTGCAGTGCTGCATAAACATGGCTGAGTCAGCGATAACTTTCGAGGGGTGGAGGTATGCCCATTATTTTGAGTTTGTCCGAAGAATAGACAGGAATGTGACGGTGAGGTGCAAACTGTGTCCAGGCCAGAAGCTGTTATCCACTGCTGTAAACACCACGTCAAACCTCAACAAACACCTGCAAAGAACACATGCTAAGGTGAAGCTAATGCACACGCTATTTGTTGTTTGTTTATATCACGTAGTCTGTTCTTCTTCTCTGTCTTCCGGTTGTTGCCTGTTTTGAATGACAAATACACACTACCGCCGCCTGCTGGTAAGGAAAGTTATTGCCACTCACGCATGCGCAGTTCGTACGTGCTCGGCGAGTAAAGTAACGAGTAAAGTAACGAGTTACTTTATATAGATAGTAACAAAGTAGTGTAATATATTACTTTTTTAAAAAGTAATATGTAATATATTACATTTTTTTAGTAACGACCCCATCTCTGGAGTTGGCGTTCTCTACTCTGGTTTACATGAAGAACAACAGGAGGTCACAGCTCTCTGTTGAACAGGACTTGCGAGTGGCCCTCTCCTCAGTGCCACCAAGGATTAAAAAATACTGTGCGCCCCGACAGGCACATGTATCTCACTAATTTGTAAGTCGGCAAAATATTTACAATAGCACATGTTTCAATGCTGATTGCTGAAATGTTACATTTATAATTTGTAGTTCAGGACCATGGACAATGCAGCTTCCTTGCATTGACAGTTCTCTGTGCTGAATTTCTGCTGAGTTTCCTTTGCCTCATTTTTTATTTTGTGACCTGTCTGGTTTAAATGAGTGTGTTGCTGCTTTGATGAAGCCTAATTTGATAAAGTTTCAAATTAATTTCTGAAATATTTCGTTAATAAATATTTCACGAGTAATATAGTTGTCTTTGTCACATTTTATTTAGCATTAGTAAATAATTATGCACATTTACAGATATTTTACATGATATGAGTGATAACACGTGTTATAAGGGCTATTTTGCACAATAGGTGTGCCTTGAGATTTTTACTAGTCCTTTGGTGTGCCTTGGGCACAAAAAGTTTGGGAACCACTGCTATAGATTACTAAACTGTGTAACTTCTACAATACTTACAATCTAACCTATAGTTTTATGTCACCTCATTATGTTGATTTATAATACATTTTTGCAGAAAGAACCATTATATCCATTATATCTCCCGCTGTCCAAATACACTTATACTACATATACACTTATACTACACTTATACTACATATAAGCAGAGTTGGGTGTAACGCGTTACAAAGTAACGGAGTAGTGTAACGTGCTACTTTTATAATTCAGTAATCACACTACAGTTACTAACATTGCCCCGACACGCGTTACTTCGTTACTTACTAAAATCAGTCATAATAAAACCTCAACAAACACCTGCAAAGAACACATGCTAAGGTGAAGCTAACGCACAGCTATTTGTTGTTTGTTTATATCACGTAGTCTGTTCTTCTTCTCTGTTTTCCGGTTGTTGCCTGTTTTGAATGATGAATACACACTACCGCCGCCTGCTGGTAAGGAGAGTTATTGCCACTCACGCATGCGCAGTTCGTACGTGCTCGGCTGAAGTCTTTGCGGTGTCTGGTTCCAGTGCAACACATGGCCAACACGCAGGAGAACACGCCGACGCAACAGCTTGAGCAGAGATAGACTGCGCAAAATATACAGATAGCAGGAGACAGAGGACAGCCATGGTCAGATAGGAAAACATTCATGCGACAATGGAAACTGAACTAAAGAGAACATTTGAAACTTTAGCAGTCTGCATGATCTGCCTGCAGGGAGGGGCGGGCCGGCCCTGCGAGTAAAGTAACGAGTTACTTTATGTAGAGAGTAACGAAGTAGTGTAATATATTACTTTTTAAAAAAGTAATATGTAATATATTACTTTTTTTTAGTAACGATCCCATCTCTGCATATAAGTGTGTTATGTAACCAATCATCAAAATACTAACTGGATAATTGTGGCGTGGCATACTCATGTACCCGTTACGACCCGCCCTCTACTTAATGGTAGAGACTCGTTGGGGAGACCCGCAACAAAGAAAACACAGCAAACACGCAGCAGTTAACGGTGTTCATTTATTGATACATCCGTACTTACATGGCCAATCGGCAAATAACAATGCACTGGAGGACAGGAAACAAACAAAAGGATAAAGGGGCGCCTGGGCCTGCCACACCACGGGCCGTAGGAACAGGGCCGCCCCTCCCTACAGGCCAATCACGCAGGCTGCATGGGGCCCCGCCTTGCGCAGGGGGCCCCGCCCAGAGGGCCTCAGCTGCTGTGCGCAGTTCTCCGCTCAGTTCTCCACGCACAGCGAGAGAGAGTGAGAGGTGAGAAGGGGTGAGCACGTCTGTAACCCGACACCGTTGCGATGAATTGACATCTGACCAATCACGGCTTTGATACGGCCACTAGTGCAGGTGAAGAGATGTCGGTGAAAAGACAGTTTCAGTCCGGCACAAGGAAGAGGGGATAAAAACAAAACATGAAGAAACTAGAGCATCACTCGAAGGTGGGTTATTGTATGAGTCAAATGTACAACTTGCGAATGTTGTATAAGTCAAATTGCCAATTGCCATATTAAAACATCAGCTGCAATTCACGACATGAAGAAGGCAGTCTCTGCAGAGCATATAGGCTAATGGAGATGCAGTTATTTCCAGCATTCTTTATTTAACATTCATTCAAGTATGTTATGCCTTTTATCTGCTAATGTACAGGAGGAAGAGTGATACACTGTCCGTCTAGTTGCCTTAAATAACAGTTAAAGTTTACAGCCTAAAAAACATGGAGCATTGTTTCCCCTTTTATTCATTTTTATGTCAATTTGCACATTTCATGGTGATGCTCAGCCTCTCCCCTTAACTCCTAACAGTCATCATCATGTCAACCACAACACAGAGAAATACTGATAGAAATGTGTGTGTAGTTGTTGATACATTGCTGACAGAGAGAACTAGAATACAGATTTAAGAAATATCAGTTTTTGAGCATGTCATAAGCATGTTTTGTCTTGAATATATTACAACTAAATTATAATAAAATAATATAGTATTTATATTATTGAATTGATTATGATTATGATTATTATTATTAGTAGAAGTAGTTTATTTGCATTCATTATATTTTAAACTTTTTGAGGCTAGTATTTGGCAGGAAATGCAGACGTACATGCACATTTACCATTTACCCCACTGTATACAAAAGTAACTGTGTTGATACTAATAATAAACAGGAATTATATTTATATAAGTAGCCTACTTTGTTTCCAAAAAAATGTGTTTCACTCCTGTCGGTTGGGGGGGGGCCTCATCTCACAATGTCGCTTGGGGCCCCAAGTTGGCCAGGGGCGGCCCTGCGTAGGACCCAGAGCTTCCCTCCGCTACCCAGAAACCTAACAAATCCCTGCGGGAGAAAACAAAGCCGCGAAAACCTAGACTACCTGTTCCACCAGAGTACATAAGATACAAACACTAGGAATCTACAGATCCTGAAGCAGAAGAAGGAGGAAGACCACGGACAACCTCCTCTGGCGTTAAGATTGGGGAAGAGAAATCTTCTCATCCAGCTTCTGCTTTTCAAGTCCCCAGCTGAACGTAATTAGGACACCTGGGGGAGGCGGAGCCAGGGGCGGACCAGGTGTGTCTGTGCAGCAGGGAGACAGAGACAAACAGGAGAGGAGCACGTAACAGTACCATATATTACAAGTCTTTCAAAACAAAGCCAAAAAAAACATATTCGCTCAAACAACTCAGTGCTTCTCAAAGTGTGGTCCGCGGACCACTGGTGGTCCGTGAGCGCCCCTTAGTGGTCCGTGAGTATATTGGTAACATTTCACATTTGAAATAAATGAATAAATGTAAGTTTTCCGCACTCTCGCGGGAATATCTCCGCAATGGAGCGAGCTTAAGTTTCACTTTCGATTGCTTAATATAGCCCAGTGCAACACCTTCGTCACACATGTAGCCGCCTGTTTGTACCATTTTCAGGCGATTTGTAATCTGTTCTAGAAAAACGATGTGTTTTGGATATTTGTGGAGTTAGGTGGTCCGCGAGTGTTTTTTTATTGGTTAAGTGGTCCTTGGTACGAAAAAGTTTGAGAAACACTGCCCTATATGCAAAACATACATTTTCTACAGTGTCAGAGATGCTTTGAACACATATTTTCAATTAGAAAAATCTTATTTTAATAAAAATGCAAGAACGGAGGGTGCTAAAAGGATTAGACAGGCAAAGAGTCTGCTTCTCGTACACCTACTTTTCTCTGTATGTATGAAGAGTTCAGGAGACAGTTTTGTATCCAACTGTTTAGTTTGGATTTGTCATGTCTTGATTGTCATGTCCAAATAATTAGATTTGAGCAGATATGGAAGATCTATGTGGTTTAAATAAGCCTGACTTGGTCCAAGGAGTGACATTTAGACTTAGAAAGCAGGCGTTTCCACAAATATAGCCAAATGTAGCTTTTATGATATGGTGCACTGCAAAAAGCAGTGTGTTGCCCGATCTAAATTAGAGACTTAAGGGTTAATTCCAGCTATAATATGCTTTAACATACTGACTACACCAAATATATACACTCTCCCCTCCCTGCATGTTGGCAGCTTTAGTAATTGCAAGCTTTTCCGTGGTTTACTGCGCTGGTAGCGTGATACTCGGAGCCAAATGCACGGTTCATAGCCTCAATGGAGGGTTAACCACACAGTGAAATTAACAAGCTGTGATAATGGAGGGTGTGAATGGGGGGGTTAAAGGGCAGTGGGTGCAGGTGGTTATGGGGGATGAAGTCCTTGAATAGAAGTTTAACAAGTCCCACAGAGCCAGTGTCGATCAACTGGCCGTGGGGAGAAGAAAAAAAAGTTTACATCTACACTACGACCCTCCGGAGAGGTGTCAGGTGAGAGCTGGGTTACGCACCCTGGTTGGCATGCGAGGGGAAGTGTGTGTGTGTGTGTGTGTGTGTGTGTGTGTGTGTGTGTGTGTGTGTGTGTGTGTGTGTGTGTGTGTGTGTGTGTGTGTGTGTGTGTGTGTGTGTGTGTGTGTGGTGTGTGTGTGTGTGTGTGTGTGTGTGTGTGTGTGTGTGTGTGTGTGTGTGTGTGTGTGTGTGTGTGTGTGTGTGTGTGTGTGTGTGTGTGTGTGTGTGTGGTTGAGAGTCTGCATGCTTACATCCTTTCCCAAAAAGGTAACTCATATGGGCCACACAGACACCATGCCGTGCAAATGAGGGAACACACTTGTCGACATGCACACACACACCACCCGCATGCACACAAACACACGCTTCCCCATCATCAGTCTTTTCCCCCCCTTACCCTCCACCTCTCACATTACCTCACACCCATAAAATAGGACCAAATTACCCAGGAGTCCTTTCACCAACTTGTCTACTCGTACTCTTGTTTTTGCAGAGCGAGCACTTTTTTATACAGCCTATCACTGTTTTTAGGCTTTCACACCTCGGCTGTGCCTCCGAGTTTTCTTATCTTTTTTTTCGGTTTTACTACGTTGTTTTACAAAGTTAAGGACTGTGTATTTTGGCCTTGGCTGGCATTGTAAAAGGTTATGTTTGGTAGGAGGCAGGTTGGTCAGGTGTGTGTGAGCGTGTGTGTTCATTCCAGTTGATTGACATTGGCTAGAGATGGTGGGGGGCTTACGGGAAAGGGCCTCTGAGAACACACTGCCTCTACTCTCATGCCTCTTACATGCATGGCAGCACTATACGTCGTGCTGTGTGATGGCTGCTATTCACTGTGAACATTTCTGTATAGAGGTTGTATATCAAAGTTATTATCCACTGTTCTTCATTACCCACGTTGATTCAACTCCACAATGTGCTTTCTGTTACTAAAGCCAGGATGGTGGAATAATGATGCATTGAAAATGAAAAACTGAACAGAAACACTGTGTGTGTGACGGCTAATATCTCACCCGTAGGGCCCAAGGAGAAGTGTGAGGTGCCAACGGATCGTGCATATCCGGTGTGTGCGGAGAAAGTGGAGGTGAGAAAGTGTGGTAGCATGAACTTAATGGCTCTGTGTGTGCACTGTTAAGATAAGATAAAATAAGATGAACCTTTATTAATCCCTGAGGGGAAATTCAGTTGTACAAAGCAGCAACAGGGTAAGCGTGAAAAAACAGGACAGCAAAGATTCAGACAGATTAATAAAAAATAAAAATCTAGAAAAAAAAAAATAATAATAATAATAATAAAAGACTATGAAATAGGAGATGAGTCGTATTGAAGTGTTTACCTCTAGAGTTTAATATTTAGTCCCCAGTATATGAGCTGGATTTGAAAATAATGGGTAGATGTAAATATTGTATGGTGTTAAAAGTGTGCCTTGTTATTTTGGCTGATTTAACATCCGTCTCTCTGTCAGTTCCTGCGGGCCCGATGGCAGTCAGACCCCTGTTATGCCTTTTATGGGGTGAATGGCACCACCTGTTCCATATTGACATACCTCAGCCAAATAGAAGACTTTTGTCCCCCTCGTCTTGGAAGAAACCACTCTGCGCTGCCATGGCACCAGAAAAATCACTCCTATACAAAGAAGGTAAAACCACAGCGTGTTTATGCAACTGTACAATTCATGTAGAATAAGGCAAGACACTATGGGCTAAAATTGTTGATTTTCTCAAGCTTTAGTCAATTTTGAGATTACGGGCTATGTGGCTTTTAAAACATTTTCTTTCCATACATTTCTTTGCCTTATTGTACCTATTGTATCGTACCTACACTACCAACTAGCGTCTCCTCTCATTTTTCTCCACTGAAAAACTAAAACACTACTATTATTTCTAAGAGATGTACACACTTTGCAGTACCTCACCGTTCTACACTATGATTGCACACAGGCTGAGATACGTACAACTCTGAACCCGCTGCATGCGGCCATCAGGAACAACAGCAGCCCTGCCGTAACCTTCATCCGGTCCAGAGTGGAGAGGATGTCTGAGCGATGGAAACAGGCTGCTGTGAGGATGAGACAGAGCAACAACCAGACTGACTCCACCCAGATGAAGGTATAACCTGCAAGACATTACCACAACATATGTTTAGCGTCTGTGCTCAAAATATGTAAAAGCCTTGTTTGTAGATACTGATTTCTAATAAAATGTTCTAAAAAAAAATACTTTTCACACTTAGTTGAAACTCACTTCACGTCAATATAGTAAGAAGTGGTTACCCTTTCTTCCACTTGACTGTTTTTTTAGGGGGTATTTCCAAATATTGAATTACAGCAAAATACATAAGAATACAATAAATAGTTTGGAGGACAAGAATGTCTTATGAAATGAGCTATTAGATATCAATAGTCATGCTTAAAAAACAAAAAGGATGAAAACATGCAAACCTACATTTTTCTAAGCAGTATTACAAGCATAATTAACGAAACAATTTATGTTTACAAGTTTATGTTGGCTTGGCACTAAAAAGGCCCTTACCTCCCATCCTCCAGGTGCTGCTTTATCCCGGGGCCCTGGCGGGGAGTGCTGGCCAGCGTTTCGAGGCTCTAGTGGAGAGGGGGGGTCCTCTGGGGGAGCTGGTCCAGTGGGCCGACCTCAGCGCCTCCCTGACAATCCTGGGACACAACCTAACCTTCAGCACCTCACAGCAACAACTCCACAGGTCGGCACCACTGTCATATACAAATACTTTGACAAAAAATACGATGTAGTGCTTAGCGCTGTGATGTGTGTTTATTGTGGCTGTTTCAGTCTCATAGGGGCTGCGCCAGGCCGAGGCAGTTGTCCAATCCAGAGGCCTCTGACCTTTGACCTGATCTACACTGACTACCATGGCCTCGCTCACCTTCAAGGCGCCATGGGACTGGCTTTCCTGCATTACCAGTACGACCACCATTTTCTATAATCAATCATGTTAATCAGTATCTATTCTCTAAATAAAATGTCATCTTTAGTTTACAGTGGCACGGTTAGAACATGTACAATGAGCTACACATGTGTGTCAAAGTATTTGGGATAAAGACATTTAATGGTGGATAAAGACTTAAATAAATATCACCACATCCTTGTAGGCCGCTGAATATATATCCTGCCAAAAGTGAAAGAGGTTACATTTGAAATTGTTAACGCAACTGTAGAAAACTGGTGTTTATCAATGTAAGAATACATTTTGTGATTTACAAATTATTTAAAATTATCTTTAGATGTCGCTTCAGAATCCTGGACTCTTTTGGCACTGAACCAGCCTTTAACCTGGGGAGTTATGCACGCAGTCATGGATATAAAACCCTGTGGGGCAGCTGGGATCTGCAGCCCCTGCAGTACATGACCATGTTCCGTAAGTCTGCATGTGTATTTGTGTGTGAGACCACAATCAATTCAGATATGCACTACCTAATACACACATTTGCAGCTCTGATCTTTCACATACACCCTTCCAAGCATCTTCACAGTGAGAGGAGGATTAATAGCTGGGGTCAAATAAACTTGGTGCCCAGACAGAGCTTTCATTCCAACACCTCTCCATGTCATCTTTCCCACCCTGCCAGAGAGGGACACAAGCTGGACACACTGGGCCAAGAGCCTGAAACACTGTTTATTTGTCCTGCTGAGGCGGAGACAGGGATGGATGTCAGCTGATGGCGGGGAAGGGGCAGAAAGAGAGAAACAAAGACATGAGAAAAAAGGAAAAAAGCTTGAGAAAAGAAGGGGTGTGTTTATGCTTCTGTTTTGAAATGGAGGAGAGGAAGATAGTCAATTGGAGACAAGCAGTTGAAGCAGAACGGTAAACAGGCAGCACAAACATTGAAAGCAAAAGAAACGATTCCTTCTCAGCTTCCTGTCAAACCCCCACATATTGCGTGAGTTTGATCGTATCAGAGTGCCGATGCATGGCTCTGCTAATCTGATAGTGAGACCAGACAGGTGTTAGAGACAAGTGGGGAGAAATGGAGCTGAAAAAGAACGAGGAGGAAATAATGTACGGGTGAACGAGGGGAGACTTGGCTCTTTAAACGTTGAGAAAGGAGAGAATGACTTATCCCGCACACCTCCCCAACACACACACGTTTTACAACTCAATGTGATGCTTGCACACACACACCTTTGCCAGCACATTCCTAGTAAAGTAAATACTCATCTTTCACACCTTCCTTAGTGTGTCAGGTGTCAGCTGCCTGTTCAAACAGCCAGACATATGTCGACTTCTCATTTCCTTTAACAGCTGATTTATACACTTCACAGCATGTTTTTCCTCTCGCACAGAATTTGAATCTTAACCATTTTTCAACTGTTGTGTTTTGTCTTTAATGTTGCTGATACTCTTTCCACACTGCTGCTTAGGGTGCAAAGGCATTCATTGTTTTTAATTAGGTTTTTCTGCAAAATAAGGACACTTTTAAGACAATAACTCACAAGTAAAGTTATACTATGCTACTATTGGAAAACTGTGTGCACTAGCTAGCTTTAATTTTGTGATTGGGGTTTTAAATGTGTGCATGGGTTCAGACAATAGACGTTGAGTATAAATCAAATCAAGTTTTATTTATATAGCACATTTATAAACGATTTTTGGTCGAGCCAAAGTGCTGTACATATAATAAAATTAGCCTACAGTGGAGACACTTTACAGCAAATACAACAGCACAGATTGTTCAGAATATCAGTATGAGAAATAAAAACGTATAATGTCCTCTATCTTTCTGTCTGTTTAGCTCATACTCCTGATAATTCCTTCCTGGGTTTTGTGAGTGAAGAGGCAGTGAAGGATGTGAAGGAGGAAGAGCTGGAGTCAGACTCCAACAGGAAAAACAGGATAGCAGTCGTCTACGGCAAACAGGACTACATGTGGAAGGTACAATGAACAGTATGGAAAGCATCTGTATGGAGAAAATCAGTTGTAAGCATGTCAAGAAGCCAGGTTCTTCACCGTTTTAGTGCAGATTTCAACAAGACATATTTTGTCATTTTGTACATGCTGTTGTTAAGATACTTTGTGTCCTGTATGTTATGTATGTGTGTGTATATACCAGGGTAAATCTGAGTATGTGGAGGTGATCAGTGAAGAGCTGGAGACCCACGCAACAGTCTATCAGCCTCCAGGACTCACATCAAATCTGCCCAGCTTCATCAGAAACCACGGCCTACTGACTCAGGAACACTTCCTACGACTTCTCCGTGGAGCCAAGGTCAGATAAGAGAACATATATAAAAAGGTGAAGCAACTAAATCTGAACATTATTTGAAGGTTATCTGCTGCTTCTCTCTCAGGTGTTTGTAGGTCTTGGGTTCCCCTATGAGGGTCCAGCTCCAATTGAGGCAATAGCTCTGGGGTGTGTCTTCCTTCAGCCCCGATTTGACCCGCCACACTCATCAGAAAACAATGACTTCTACAAAGGCAAGCCCACCACAAGACAGGTAGGTTACTCCTCAAACTCTAGATTTGAATACACATATGGCACATCCAATATTTAAATCTAAAGAGAGTAATTCACTTTGGATTACAGATCTCCTCCCAGCACCCTTATGCCGAGAAATTAATCGGCAAACCCCACGTGTGGACTGTGGATGTGTCCAACAAGACTGAAGTTCGGGAGGCCGTCAGAGCCATTTTACGCACAGAGGTGGTGACCTGAAAATAAGCAGTTTTACTGTTTACACATGTATTCAACCCCACACCTTATAATCCTATACATTTCAGTGGCAGTAGCAGGGTAAAAGGGCATGTGTATGTTTTTGCAGGTGAAGCCATTCACTCCCCGAGAGTTCACATGTGAAGGAATGCTGGAGAGGGTTCGTGATTACATTGCACACCAGGTACAGAGATTTAGCAGTGTAGGATAGACCTGTTGCAGTTTTTTTGGTGCTCTTTTTTCCTCGATAGATTCCTGACACGGCTTAATACAAATCTGTACGATAGCTGAACTTCAAGAGAGAGTTTTTGTGACATTAGAAGATGTTTTCAGAAACCATTTAGTTGTAAATTGATTCAAATGTTCAACTTTCTTCCTCTCAAATACCTCCAGGATTTTTGCAGTAAATCTCTTCCTACTTGGCCACCAGAATGTGCTCTAAGGGTGCACCTGGGTCCCCTGGGTCAGTCATGCGAAAGTGTGTGTCAACGGTCCTCCCTCGTGTGTGAGCCGGCTCTGTTTCACTACCTAAACACTCCTGCTGCACTCGCCCGGTAAGGAATCTGCCCACTGTACAGGTTGGGAAAAAAGACAGTTTAATAGAAGCTAAGAGCTGAAAAATAACCAACGTAAGGGACTTTGTATGTGAGGTGACTGTAAAACACATGCAAGTGCGTTATATCGTGCTCGATACAGCTGTCAGTCAACTTATTTTAGCATTCAGCATTGATGCTCCTCAATCAGAATATCAGACCAAATTAATAGCAACTCGATAACTAAAATGCTTTAATTACACCAATATATATGCTTTCATTTCCCATGTTATAGACTCAAGATAGGCTGCTCCAGCACCAGACAGGAAGTCAACCACCTGTTTCCTGCCTACAGCCCTTGGGGTCAACAGTGTGGCCTTCAGCAGGATCCTCTGTTGTTCAGTTGTGCCGGCTCCGACCTCTCTCAGCGCAGACTGTGTCCCTGTAGAGCTCACCTGCCTGGACAGGTGGCACTGAGCCCTGACTGCCTCTCATAAACACTATGAAAGAACTTAGGATAAAGCAGAAAGCGAAGAGGATGATGATGGAGAAAGTACCAAAGAGTCATCTGCAATAAAAACTGTACAGGAAAGAACTGATCTCGACCAAAGATAGCTTGCTGTCCTGCCAATGGTTTTGGAAGCTTTGAGGTATGTTAATTGATATCAAATCGTGATTTTCTTTGTATTACTCAGGAACCAAAAAACAATTGAAAGTGTTTTTAAAGAGTTGAATGATTAAATTCAAGGCCTGGTGTCTCATGGAGAATAAAAAACCTCTTTGTAGCTTTTCCTTGATCCCTTAAGCAAATAGTCTTTAAATGAACGCAAGCTGCACAAGGAAAAAGTGTTTATTTTTAATGGATATAAGTTAGAAGTGGCCCTTATGACTCTAAAGCCATTTAATTATCTCCACTTGCTCCAGATCTTACACAGTACAGTGCACTTCAATATTATGCTGAATAAGTATCTAATCATTCATATGCTTACAGTAATGTATCATGGTGGTCGGCGTTGCATGGGATTACTGCTCATGTAACGCTCAATGCATTGCTGGCTGCAGATATTAGCCCGGGCCTCGGAGGAGAGCGGGTGACAGCTTAAGTGATGAGGCTCATTATCTGAGTGAATCATGGATAACCTCTGGATGCCTTTGGGAGGTCATAGCCATATGACCATGATTATATTGTCATATAAACCATTGGTTCCCAACTGTCTTTGGCTTAGGAAACCCCCTCAGCTCTATTTAAATCCATGCCCCCCGCCAGTAAAGGCAGAACCTCATTGTTTGTCTTTCAAACACATATTTAGCGTAATTTAGACTGGGAAAAAAGTCACAGAAGGCAGGATTAATTATGTTTTCTTGAGTTATTTTACTAGAAATTATGATTTTGCTCATAACAGATGACTCATGTTGTCCCATGTTCTTGCATTTGCTACAGTATTATTCCTTCCCCGCCTCATGACCCACAGATACTTAAAGCCCCTCAAGGGTATTTTGCAGGTTGATATGAGCAAACGTGGAAACTTTACATAGTATGATTTGGCTACATGCAAAGAGAGGTAAGCCTGAACGTTTCCATTTCAAAAGCCTTAAATGGTCACACAGACTTATCCCATCATCTCTGCCTGCAAAACAGCCAGTGAAAGAAACAGATGATAACAACTAAAGGCCAAACTACAGTGTTGTAAGTGATGGGGTGCTGGATTTACATGGCACAGCTGTTAGCAAAGATGGCTCCAACAATGGCAACACCCGGTTGATGTGAGCTGTTTCTTGGAAAGCACGCACCCATGAATGTTAATTGGCAGAACAAAATAGCTTTTCCTCCTTGGTGCACTTCATGTGACCAGAACATAATTGTCTTTCAGGGATCAGACCTCTCAGGACTGGTCGACTATGAGATTGACCAGTAAATGCCTGTGAAAACGGGGGATGAAAACAACATTTTTGATGACTTTGGTAGAATAAATTGGACCTGTCAAATGTAACTTGTGCTTAATCAGCTGAACGGTCCAAAGATGATGGAAATGAACTTGTGTTCATGTCAAAAGGCTGCTTGGATTAAAGGAAAAATAAAAGTTGCTTTTGACTCAGAGGGAAGTCTCAAGAGGGAATTTCTGGTAAGTGATGTGTCATTTCTCGATGAGTCATGTTAATTCATATCAGTTACATGTGTTATGCCATATAAAATCTGTCACTCACCTCCCAGGGGGCTGATAGCAGAGGGTTCAAACTAAGGGTTCAAAAACAGAGTAGATATGAAGCTAATGCGTACATACACAAAGGTTCTAGTGTTCCACAACGCTGCCTACTTACCTCATGATGAATGGGACTGTATTAGAGTGCAAAACTGATAAAACCCATAGAAATAATCCTTAACAAATTGTAATCTCATTAAAAAAAAGAGTCTACCCAATGCTAGCATGTATGCTTGACACTTGTAGGCTACTTAGGCACCGTGCTTTGAGCTAATTGTTTTGTCGCTAACAGCGACAATGCTAACTTTGTATCATTTTTTACATGTTAACTATTCTAGTTTATTATCTTAGCATGCTAACATTGGCTAACTATCAGTAAACACAATTTACAGCTGAAGTTGTTGAGAATTGAAGAATACGTTAACCTGTTGATGATGTCTAAGGTGCGGAGGTTACTAAGGTAATTGAAATGTATCCCACGAGGGACACAAATCCAATGGTTGTTTAGATATATGACTGCTACAAAAGTGAGAGACTGACATTGCCCTCCATACAGACCGGACTCCTGCCGCATCTGCACGTTGAAATAACGATTAGAAAGTTTGAAAATAAGGGGATGATTGATGGAGGAGAAAAAAAAAAAACCCTCGAGGGAGGAACCAAGAGAGGAAACTTGAACCTGTGTCAGGATCAGCCAGACATCATGGAACGTTCACGCTCCAGCAAAGGTTCAATAATGTTTGTCCGAGTGCTTTTTAATTTTACATGAGAGACAGGAACTCCTTTGGCCACATAGGGACTCTTTGCTCCTATACCTTTCAACTGTGGAATGTGGTGCAAATCACACTTCACTGCCAAGAAAAATGAGAGATCTTGTTGAAGAAAGCAATACATGGAGAGTTTCGCCTAGATTCAGACTTTCAACCTGTGTAATTTCTGTCCTTTTATACACAAATAAAGATGTATTTGTTAGAAACCGCATGCTATAGTGAAGTAAGATCACTTTATTTCAGATTGTTATGTTGTTTAACAAACATCAACAACTTAATCACAAGTGATGGATGAAAAAAGGACAACAAATTCACTTTTTCTTTTGAAATACTGCTTTTTAGTTAATTCGAGATCCTTGACAGTAGCTGGTTAGTTCTTAGAAAAAGAGACACATGTTGTTTAGATTAAAAACAATCTATATAAAAGATAGTGTTTCAAAAAGGATCAAAACATAGTAGTAGTAATATAAATGTAAGTTTTTTTAAACAATGGCAGTTTGCACATACTGATTTGTTCACCTCTGTAAATACTCGTAATTCTGAAATGGCCTGAACCAATTAACTTTAAATTAATTAATTTATAACCCATATACTATACTAGCCCAGTCCTGATGAACCTCTGCCTCTTTGCTTCTCCAGCTTTGTTGATTTGCAACAGCAGGTTGTTCCCTAAAGGGGGCAGTGTGGTCAAGCTAAACCAGCTAGCATTGCTCACAGCATACCAGTTAAAACCTCAGCAACCTGCTAAGGAAATGTAACATGAAAACAGAGAAACATAAAAAGCATCCGAGTGATTTTTTTTGTGCACAGAAGAAAGAGTTCAGAAGTTCTGTAGATGTAAGACACTGTATTTCAGACACAGTATTTTCTACAGGTAGCTCCTAGTGTAGTCCAACTATCACACTTGCAAAAAGGGGGAAGGATGGCAGGAGAGCGGCTTAACTGCCATAAGAAAGCAGCTGCTTTTATTGAAACCTTCTTATTGGCGTGCCAAGATTACACTGAAAAACAACAACCCTCCTCCCTGGAAGCCAATAAAATGCCGACAACAAACACTTGGCTTGCCTACAGCGCTGTTAGAAGCCACAGAGGTTGGCCTTAATGATACTTGGTAACTATTACAGACTATTAAACCAAAGGAATAAAGGGGGAAACAACGGAGAGAGAAAAAGGGGAGAGGAGCGATTCGTTCAGAAAGTTATTTCCAGGCATGATGTAGATAGCTAACTCATTGTTGGGCAACCTTGAAGAAATGCACTGTTGGTTTAGTTGTTGAAGGAAGAAAGGTCTGCCTGGACAGATAAAAAGTCCTCTGCCTGAAGTCCTGTTACATCCATCAGCAACACACTACAGTCCAGAGAGCTGTTGTGTATGCTTGAATGGTCAGGGCATGGCGCAGGCCTTTTTGTGTGTGTGTGTGTGTGTGTGTGTGTGTGTGTGTGTGTGTGTGTGTGTGTGTGTGTGTGTGTGTGTGTGTGTGTGTGTGTGTGTGTGTGTGTGTGTGTGTGTGTGTGTGTGTGTGTGTGTGTGTGTGTGTGTGTGTGTGTGTGTGTGTGTGTGTGTGTGTGTGTGTGTGTGTGTGTGTGTGTGTGTGTGTGTGTGTGTGTGTGTGTGTGTGTGTGTGTGTGTGTGTGTGTGTGTGTGTGTGTGTGTGTGTGTGTGTGCGTGCGTGTGCGTGCGCATGTCCAGATAGCTGCTAATCCCATTGTCTTTATGTATGTATTCAACTGAAAGCATTTTATGACCTGGGGAACAGGAGAGGTCATCCGTGCAGACGGACATCTTAGAAACCACAAGTGATTTCTAAAGGTGTGGTAAAATTATAACACATGATGCTCTTGCATAGGCAAGAAGGAATCCTGCTGAGCAATTTTGCAAGGAAAGCTTGGTATAGGAAGTAAAATCTATTATTTTGTGCTGAAGTCCTCCTTAGTAGAAAGTAGTGAAGAAAGACAGAGCTAGCTCCAAGAAAGCCCTCGTCATCTTTCATCCTACACCTTCGAATTGCCTTCATTTTCTTGGGCTCTTATTGTCACATAAATGGCTCCTTTTGGGGTGGGATTTATAGTGAGGGGTGGCAATGGGGTGTGCGGGGGGGGGGGGGTTTAACCCACCTTTTGATGTCCCCTCTGCTTAACAGGCAATGCAGACGCGCCTGCCCATATGCTGCACTGAGCCTTTGCCACACACTGCTAGCGTGCGACTCTCTCACACACAGGCACATTAAAAGATATTAAACTACTTTTCTGCTTTCATTCAGAGTCATGGGATGTAACAGCCAAGCAGGGTGGTTCGCGTTAAGCTGCGCCACTTCCTCAGCTGTAATTAAAGCCGCCCATGCAGGGGGTCTCTAACAGTCTTGTTTTGCTACACCCCTGATCCTGACCTTATAAAAGGAGACTGCAGGGCTTTTTTTTTCTTTCTTACACTGCGCAATAGGTTGAAATAATACAGTCTGGAGTTTATTTCTTGGTGGTGATGTGGTTTTTCCTGTAGTTTTAATAAATGTCCCCCAAGCATGTGACAGGTAGTGACCAAATTCATCAACCAAAACAAACAATATAGCCCCGTAGAAAGGTACGAAAAGCATGTGATAACAGCTTCAGACATTTCAGCCAATAAAATGGAAATACTTCAGATCTGATGTCACAGAATTAAAGTTGTACCTCATACTTTGGTACTGCAGTTCACACTAGATCACATATCTGGTACCTAAGGGCATGTGTCATAAAAAAACACTTAACAAAAGGCTGACAAATTAAGGGTGAAATGTAGATAAAGTGTCTCAAAGGTGTAAGGGGGGTTAACACCTGGGAATTTGCACTCCAAGCCAGTAGTGGGCATCTGGTAATGGTGGTGGTCCAATATTAGATGATTTAATGCACATATGCAGATCGCATGTTGCAAAATAGTCAAATACAACTTCAGGTCAACTTTGCTTCAAGTTGCAAGTTAATAATAAAATACATTTTCAGACATAAGTCTTTTCAGACATCAGTCAATACTGAAACATCTTCATCAGCTTTGAAAACTTGGATTTTCTGCAGTTTTCAAAGTATGGAGGTTATTGAGACATTTAATTCAGCAGAAACCTTTTGTAGCCTTCCCCAGATCTGTGCCTCAACATGATCTTGTCTCTGATATCTGCAAGCTGTGCCTTCGACTTCATGGTGTTGTTTTTGCTTTGCTATGCATTGTCAGCTTTTTACCTCATATAGACTTTCCAACTCATGTCCAATCAATTGATTTGAACACAGGTGGAGTCCAATCAGAGTGCAGAATTGGAGGCACCTGAGCCTGTCACTTTGAACATTTGTGTCAATGTCATATTTCTGTAGTATACTTTTCAATGCATTTTCAGAAACGTCTCACATCCTTACTTTAGGGGGTATTCATTGTAGATTAAACAAATGTAACAAAGCCCAATCACTTTTTAAGATAGTCCTTCACTCTGTCCCTCATTTTTTTCTATTCTCTGTGTCTGTAGTAAGAATACCCCCCCCCTTCACTTTATCTCACTCACAAACACCTTCGCTCTCTTTTCAATCTCTCTTCTCTTTTCTGCCCACTTCTCTCTCTTTCTCTTTCTCTCTCAGAGGCTGAGCCAGGTGATAGTAACACAGCCAGCTGTGTGCCAGTTACCACGGTGATGACAGCTGCCAGCCCAGGTGCACAGGCAGCTGGGAAGGCAAGGAATGTGTGTGTGTGTGTGTGTGTGTGTGAGAGAGAGAGAGAGAGAGAGAGAGAGAGAGAGAGAGAGAGAGAGAGAGAGAGAGAGAGAGAGAGAGAGAGCGAGAAGAGAGAGAGAGAGATGAGAGAGAGCGAGACATCTCGATTTAGTAGAGAGAGCGATAGATAAGTAGATGCCCTATTATCTCCTCGTATCTGACTTATCTAGAGAGATATCTCTATCTGGAGAATGTCTGTGACACTGGTACCTGTGTGTATGCATGCTGCTGTGTGTATGTGACAGAGATAGCGGGGGAAAGGGACCCGGTTGCTAGTGAGGACACAGGTGTGTTCGTGATGGTGGGAGCGTGGGAGAAAAGGAGCGGTGTCGGGGGATTTACTGACCTTTGACCCTTTCATCGTCTGGGCATTTCCCAAGATCCATCTGCAGCGACTCG